AAACTAGTCAGGGCCGTCCTGAAAAGATGTAGGAGGGGAGGGGTTGGCGTATCTAATTTTTGGCGGCTAAGGCCAAGAAAAACTTTTTTTTAACTAAGATCTTAAAAAAAAAAAGATCCTCGTTAGCTGATATTTCGAAACGTAAGAATTATCATGTTCTATCTCCACTTTTTAAAAAAATTAAGTTATCAATTGTGTTGTGTACCTCTTAATAATGTTTTTCTGCTATATTAGAACCTAAAGTTATTAGTAAAAAAGTTGCGGAGAAAACATTAAACCGTTTTATCTCAAAACTCAAAAATGTGGAAATAGAACAAGATAATTCAAACGTTGCAATTTGCCAACTGCCAACCATAGATCCAATTTGCCGACTTCAGCGTCCAATATGCCGACTAGTGAATTTACTAAGGAGGCTAGACATCCCCCCCCCCCCGATGCCTCTGAACCTAGTAGATATCCAAATTAACAATTTCCGAACAACATTCAAATGTTTATTTTAAATTTAAAAATACTGAAATAATTTTAGTTATTTTTAGGTAATTTTCCATTTATTTATTTTCTTTTAATTTTAGTTTTAGTATGAATTAATTGTTTAATAATAATACAATTTATGCACCTTTTAGTTCTTAACTACTCAATGCCGTGTGCAAGAAGGTTAATAACACAATTGCATGGTAGGCAGCTGAATATCTTTTTAAAATAAACTATTATGAAATTAGTTTTTCAAATAGATATCACAAATTTCTAAATGCTGCATGAACTATTAGCTGAGCTCTGTGAGTACACACAACTAAGGAGTTTCTTCAAGAATTTTTAAATATAACTATTTGTACCTTATTTTTTATTTAGTTATACTTTACTGAAATCATTAAACGAAGCTTTTTTTCAGTTAACTTGGCAGTTTTTACTTTTCCAAGGAAATAAATGGCGTATTTTTGCATAGTATTCTGAAACGAGTTGAACCAAGGAAAATAAATGGTTATCACTTATAGCTGAGTCAAACATATGAGGAGGATAAAAATCATATATTTAATAAAACATTAAATATATGATTTTGATCTCTGATGCTGCAGTTTACTTTTGAAAGTTGAAATCTATTTTAGATCAAGAGTCATTTATATGTGGCAATTGATATTGTTGTAAAATATTCCTGCAGATATCACAGCAGCAAAAAAGAGCTCTAGATGGTCTTGACTGAGCTTATATGTTAGTAAATAATTTAATGGTGCATCTTCTTTTTTAACCCAGTCGACAAATATACCTTGAACAGATTTAATTGCTGTCAAATATCCAATAAAACCAGTTTTTCGTATTATAAAGGTCATTTGCGTACCAGTAATATCTTAAAGACTTGCTAACTTGTATCTTTTGGCAAATGGGTTTCTTGAATTTATTATGTCTAATAATCAATCTATTATCCAAATAAACTCAACGGCATATTTATAAAATTACTTAACTGCTTTTTACTATTCATTGATACAAAAAAGTCAGCAAACTTTGATATATAACCATAATAATTAACAGCAGATAAACAGTATATATAACTTTAGTTAAGAATATATTTCAGAGAGGAGATAATGTTTTAAATATTTCTATATTAAAAATTTAATAAATACATTTTTTTCAAATAAATGTATTTTTATATATAAATGTATCTTCAATTGTATTGAGTGATTATCCTTCAAATTATAAGAAGTAGTTATTTACTTTTTATTTGTTTAAAAAGTTGTTATAAATAACTACAATTCAGACCTGTTTTTTTTTTACCAGTATAATTATTCTAGTAAAAAAAATTATACTGTCACTTAAGTGACACTTTAGAATATGTTAAACAAATAATTTATGCAATAATAGCAGTCACGTATAGTATAATTAAAGAAGGAACCCTTGTTTTCTGTATTCACAACACTCAGTTAATAGTTCATGCAACTAAGAACTAAAAGGTACATAAATTATAGATAAAACTTAACTAAAATTGTAAATTTCACCATCCAAAATAAAATCTGAAAATCTGACGAAGCTCTATAACTCTATTAAATAAAAAGTATACAAAGAAAAAGAAAAAAGTATTTATTTAAAATAAATGAAAATAAAAATATATTTACTGGAATCAACTTCTTTTTTTTTTTTTTTTTTTTTATTATGTTGATTTTAGGTGCCCCAAGAAGTCCTTACGGTCTTATCACAGAGCACCGCGGAAGAGCATTTAATAGGAAGTCCACGCCTCCTTCCCAACCGATGTCGCAAAACTTGCCCAGCGGTGGGGTTTGAACCACGGATCATACGTTTCTGAGGCAAGTGTGCTACAACTGCGCGACGGCTGCTTTAGTAACTTATAACTTCTTATAACTTACTAAAAATAACTCAATCATTAGATTATTACAATCACCCCAAACACCATAAACACCAAAATAAGCTTAGTTAAAAAAAAAAAAATAGTCCTAAATATTAGCGGTTCTATACAACAAGATCCAATGGGTCTTCTTTGAGTATTCTTTATTTTTATTTTTTATTTATTGTTTAAAAATAAACATTAAATTTAGAATAAAAAAAAAAAAAAATTAAATAAAAAGGGAGATAAGCCTTTTTTTTAATTTTTTATTTTTGAAAAAAAAAATATATATATTTTTTTATACAAGTACTTAAATCCTAGGGGATGAATGAAGTCTTGTCTATTTTATGTATCTCTATACATAATAATATAATCTCATATAAAATATAATTCTTATATAGTCAGGAAGTTATTTATTTTGAAATGTTTTACAATCAATTTTATTTTATAAATGGAAATATTAAAAACGAGATTTAGTAAAAACTTTTAAAATCAATTTTTATCAAAAACGACTATTTGATTTTAATAAAAAAGGAACGTTATTTACTTACATTTTGTACCCAAACCTGTTGAAGATTAAAAAAATATTATAGAAAGCAAAATAGTCTACATAAGCAAAATACTTGTTTAAATTAAAATTAGTTACATCAAATTAGACTACAACTAAAAAATAATTATTTACCTATTAAAGTCACATAAAAAATCGAGGTTTAACACAAATTGAATTATAATTTGAAATCTAATTCTGAAAAAAATATATAGTTAGTAGGGCAGACAATTGAGTTAATAAGTTTCAAAGCCAACTCTGTTTAGATATAGATGTTTGGTTTGGATTTAAAAAACATAATAATAATCATTGTAGCATATACATGTAAATATCTTTAAATTATGTGATATATATGTTAGGCATTTTTTCTTTACCATTAAAATAAACTAATTATAAAAAATGACTTTTTTGGTTTGTAATACACTTCCTTGGTTATGAAAAACCCATTTAGTTCTGTAATTAAATACGGGAAGTTTTTAACTTGCTTACTTTCTGTATTGTTAATTACTTGTTTTTATATTTTATAAAATTTTTATCTTTTTATTAAATTGTTTCTGAGCAGCAAAGAACTTCATTTAAACTTAAAAATAGTAATAATAATTTTTAAATAAACATCATTTTTTATTTTTTAATATCATTATGATATAAAAATTGATGCTAAAAAAAAAAGACAATATGAAAGTTTTTATGAAAACTATAATCAAAGAGTAAACAAACCTTTAACTGTAAGTTTAATTTCATATAAAAATTACAATTATATAACAAAATATTATTTGGCAGTTTATTTTTTAGATTAAGTGAATAAAACAGAACTCTAAGAGGGTAAACAAAAAATTTATAAGTATGTAATAATTATAATTATACGTGCTATTATCATCGAGTTAATTTAAATCGAACAAACAATCGAAAAAAAAAGAAAGAAATTTATAATCATAAATTAAAGAAATAAAACAAAACAAAACAAAATTAAGAATCAAAATTTAAAACAAAAGTTGAAAACTTTAAAAAAACAACAAATGGAAACAAAAAAACAAATGGAAATAAAAAAACAAATGGAAATAAAAAAACAAACGGAAATAAAAAAATCCGCTATGAATAAATTTCATTCGACTCAGTCTTTATGAAATTATTAAATTAGTTTAAAGTTTCTCTACTAATCGGTAGTACCAGGGCCGGATATACCATCGGGGTCTGGGCTAAAATTTAGTATGAGGCCTTTTGCTTTTGATAATGCAATACCCGATCTAGTAATTCGGTAATTAACATATATTTATTACTCATAAAATTAATAAATAAATGATACGTAGTGTGCAATCAATAGTATTTCACTTTTTCTCTTGAAATTGCGTCAGTTTGTCAAATTTGAATAGTGTCACTTTTATTGTATCATAAATAGATTATATCTTTTCTTTTCTAGCTTTTTGGTTAGAAAAGTTATTGACGATATCAATTTCATTTCCTTTGTGATAACCTTTTCATAAATAATAAAAGCCAGGTTAGCAAGCCGCTATTGACGCATTGAGGTACGCAGTCTTTTTTTGATCAATTTCATTTTAGAAAACGATCTTAGGCAAGCAGTTTGTTACCGCACGGTTAATATTTTGAGATTACGAAGCGTAACATCAAATTAGGAAACTCATCCTGCACACCTTTTGTATAAGTGGATACATGAAATTTTCCATAATCGCGTTCATTTGTTCTTCATCGAGAAACACCTTTAAAAAGTTATTAAATTGCGCAAACTTATTTCAAAAGGATGATGAATTTAAGTCGTTTTTTTTAGTTGCGGCAAGCTTGTTTCCTACTGATTTGACACTTTCAGAATCGAGTTTTACCAACTTAGAATTAATTAAATTGACCAACCTATATTTGATTAAATTAACTACTTAATTTTTCAAAGTCGGTCGTATTTAATTAACAACCCGTGGGCTGAATTTGGCTCTATAATAAAACAAGTCTGCAAATGATTGTCAATTAAGTTTCTAAGATATGAATGCAATCTCATCCCGATTTTTCATGCATGCACCTCTGATCTCGATTTTTATGAGAGGTATGGTGATTTAATAATTTTCTTATGAATGCGGATTTTCACTGTTTTGATTAAACGGACATATTGTTAAAGGGACGGACACCACATTAAACTGTCGTTAAAATAAATGTTTACTTTAAAGTTAATTGTTTTTAATTTTTAATTTATAGACAGTCTTTATGAAATCCCAATAAATAATATAAGTAAAAATCTTAATTTTGTCATTTTAGTGAGTATGGAGAAGTGTATTAAAGCAAGATGGTTGATTCGCGTTTAAAGTAAGTATATCTAATATTTGTTTTTGTGATGCTTAGTAATACCCTAAGCAAAATTAACTATAAGAATAATATTTAAAAAATTTATTGAGACTTTTATATAAAAATTTTGTATTATTTTAAAGAATAAAGAATTTTTATAAAAAATTTGTTTTTGTTTTGATCTGTATATTGTATTGTTAAATGTGTTCATGAAACTATACAATACCATACTGGGAGATAAAAACATAGAGCAATCTTCTTTTGCAAAAATTAATATCTTTTAGTAGATTTTTCAATTTTTTTAAAAAAAAACTTTTTGTTGTTGTTAATAAATAATGTTTTTATAGTAGTAATTATTAATAATCTTAAATACCTTCTTTTTGTCACACCATTACTACATAATAATCTTCCTTCTTTTTGTCACACCATTACTAAAACTACTGATATTGCTATTTGTATTATGTATTATTCTTACTTTTATTTTGTTTATATTATATTGTTATTGTTTTTGTTGCTGTTTTTTTTTTGTTATTGGTGTTTTCATTTTTAAAATGGTAGAGAGAAGATAGATAGGGAAAGTTATTTTCCACTTAAGGTCACTTTAAACATTGCAATAAGTTTGGATGATATCTCCCAACAAAGGATCTTCTAATTTCATAACTTTCATGTAAATAATAATCTAAATATTTTGATGTTCATTTGATTATTTCCTTTCAATGTCATGTTTTCTGTTGCATTTGCATATTTTGTGTTTATACTTTTTATTTTGATTGAAAAAAATATGTTATTTTGGGTAACACTACTTAGATTGAATTCATGAAAAAGAAATGGGGTGAAAATAACAAATTTGTATTTGTATTTTGTATATTTGTTATTTCGTAAAATGCAAATTATTACTTATATTGAAACATGAAATTATATTGAAAAAAAATCTAAATTTCCAGAAAAATAGTTTATTTTCCAATGGTAATAATTGTCTCTCAAATAAATTGTTCAAAGAAAAAATACAAATGCAATCATTCACTAAAAAGGTTCAATAAAAGTTGCAAATGAATTGTTAATGCTATTAACATTTTTTTAAATTTAGATTTGAAATTTTTATTATTTAGTAGACTCCCTGCCCAGACCAAACCCTCAGGTGATGCTGTAGCACTCCCTTGTAGTCGTAGGCTATAAGATAGTTAATGTAGCAACACTCCTCGCATGTTCAACAGTAAAAAACTAGTTGCAATGGAAATGTTAATGCTGCTTTATTTATTTGTTTTTCAATACAAGTTTCCTTTTTCATGAGTTTGATTCAAATCTTATATCGCAATATCAAATTTTGATTAAGAATACTTTTGATTTAATTCGTGATTGTCCAATTTTGTAAAATTTACACAAGTTTTGTTTTAATTACTTTGATATAATTCCTTTTTTATTTCAATTTCATTTTGATACAAGTATGTCTTCCTGTTGTTTTATTAGTAAGTAGCTAGTAATGTAAAATTAAGATGTAGGAGAAATAAGTACATAGGGTTTTGTAACTCGTGTTATGTCATGATTTTTTTTTTTTAATCTCATCTTTATCTGCATTTAATTAGTTTTCGAAGATCATAAGCTTTTTTTTAGGTTATGTTGGAAGTTAATATTTGAAATTTAGATATACTATATTGAAACTAGTAAAATTTAGATGACTACAGAGTATAGAACTATAGTTTATAACTAAACTATATTTTAAATGGAGTTATAAGATAAAAGATTTAATAAATATTGCTTATCTACAGTTCCAATCCACCAACATTGTTTCATTGTTTTGCAAAAGTACCTTCATATATTGCTAACAAAGACAAAGGTATATCATTTCACTTAATATGAATTGCTAAATATTTTATGTTTGTTGTTTCTTTCTCATTTACCAATTTTTTATATATATATATATATATATATATATATATATATATTTAAAATTAATCATAGTGTGTTTCTCTTCAGTCTTCATGCTAAAGAGAAACATACTATGGTTAATTTTAAAACCAATTTGTTATTGTTTGTACAAATGTACAACCAATTTTTTATTGGTTGTACAAGTTATTATATTTTTTTCGGTAATTTTTGGTAAAATATAATTTAATAATTTATTTATAAAATTGTTGTAATTTATATAGCCCAAAATTGAATTAATGTTTTTTCAAAAAAAAAAGTTTGACATTTTTATCAAATCAACTTTAATGTTTAGTGTTCTTAGTTTTAGTGTATTTAATTCTGTAATTTATTGAATGTATATCATAAAAAATTTACTTTAGAATCTTCATTGAGCAATATATTTCCAAAAAACTTTGATGACAAGGTAAAAACATTTTATTCATTTTACTTAAATTATAAGAATTTTTTTGTCTGCTTTTTTAAAAAAAAGTTTGCTTTAATTTGTGTCAAACTGCATTTACTATATTTGTATTGAAAAGATTTTTTTGATCATTTTGGGTGAGTACAGATAGTTCAGAAGTTCATTAACTTGTTAAGCCCAAAGTAATGTGTAATATATATATATATATATATATATATATATATATATATATATATATATATATATATATATATATATATATATATATATATATATATATAATATATATATATATATATATATATATATATATATATATTATACAAAAATGAATACGTCATATTTTCAAAAATATTTCAGTAAAATTAATTTTTAAAGTCAAATTTACTGCCATTGTTTATATTTGCTAATTATAAATAATTTAAAAAAGATAGACTGAAAGACTGAAATAGAGTGAAAAGAAACTAGAGAGAACTGCTTAAAAAACATGAAGCTCAAATCACTATAATCAAACATTTCTGAAAATAAGCTCCACTTGATCTTAGTTTTTTAAAAAATTATTATGATCATCAAAAAGGTTTGCTAATGAGAGGTTGCTTAAAAGGTATGTTAAAAAATATATTACGTAGTGTTTTTCTAACTAGTTCTATAATTATTTGTTGTAAGTAGGAATGCATAATAGTTTGTTAAATATAATTTACAGTAAACTTGTTTATCCTTTTTTATTAAAAGGGCTTGGCGATAAGACTGAATTTGTCTTTTTCATGCCCTAGCTGTGTATTTACATTTTATAACTAATTTTGTAATTTTTTTTAATGGTGAAATACATAATAATAATAATAATAATAGCAATAATAATAATAATAATAATAGCAATAATAATAATAATAATAATAATAATAATAATAATAATAATAGCAATAATAATAATAATAATAAATCTTTTAATCTCTTTTAAATAAAAGAATTTAAATTAAATTTTCCCCTTATTTATTTATTTATTTTTTAATAACAATATTTAAAAAATACTTTTTAGGATGGTGTGTTAAAACAAATACCAACATTTTGTTTTCCTTGTGCTGTTAATAGGTGGTTTTTAGATTTTTCCTAAATTATTTTAATTAATATTTTCCTTAACGCATTATATTTTTTAAATAAACCTAACTTTATTTTTAGTGATGGTGTCCAATACTCCACCTTTGTACTCACAGATTTGGATAGCAAATTCCGTTTTGGATTTTGTCGTTATCCCCCAAATGCAGTTAGTTGCCTCTGTATAATAAGGTAGATTTCAATAATTTTTTAAATTTAAAAAAAGTAATAATGTTATGTTAGATAATAAAGTAAGTGTTAAAAGAAGTTGTTTTTTTTTAATATTATTAATTTTTTTTTAAGTGCAACTATATTACTATGATTTATTATACTGTAGAAAATATTATTTAGAAAAAATGTGGTTTTTTTTATTTTTCTAAAATATACTTTTTTTTATTTTTTAATATTTTTATTTAAATTTCACCTCTGTGAAAGAAATTTTTTAGTTTACTACTATGCAGTATTCATATATTATTTTTAGTTATATGCCATGGTTTGAAACATTCTACACAATACTTAATAAGTTATCTTCTCTACCAGATGAGGTATAATTAGAATGCAGCATATAAACTTTTTTTAAAATACTTTTTCTTTAGTAATATATTATTTGTTAATATAATCAAAATATATTTAAAAAATAGTTTATATGCTACCTTTTTTATTGAATTCAATTTATATATTTATAAATATATATATATACAGTGCTGGCCTTAGGGGGGGGCAAGGTTGGGCGCCGCCCAAGGGCGCCAGGAAACTGGGGCGCCAAACGTTGTATGCAAACTTTAACAATATAATAAATAGAAAAAATAAATCAAGGGATCGTCCATAAATTACGTAACGCAAAGTTTCACAAAAAACAAAACAAAAAAATATCAAAAGTTTTCCCTCGCACAGTTTTAATTTAAATAAACAATGAAAATAGGAAATTAAGTCAAATGAAAATCGCCGCGTAAAAAAGCCTAATATCTCCTACTCCTGTTCTTAAAATATATTTTGCGTTGCGTAGTTTATGGACGATCCCCAACCTAAATTTTTTCGATTTCGATTTTTGATTTTTTGTTATTTTTTCGAATGTTTTTTTTTTTTATAAAATAATTTCTTTAAATAATTTATTTATTGTATTATTACACTGTTAAAAAATTGTTTATGCAAAATTAATAATTTGATTAAAATCTGTTACTTAAAATCATTTTTTTAATTGTATCTTTCTCGGCGCCAATTATTTTGCGTTCCATTTATTTAAAGTTTAAATTTTAAACATTATTTTCGGTACGAGTTGCGAGCACGTTGTTTATTAATTTGTAGAAGAAAATTAAAGTTGTATTTGTGATTCAAATTCAGTTTTTGTCAAGTTTTCAAATTTTGCGGTAATAAAAAGCAGGTAAGTATAAATAATGAAATTGTTTTTGAATTATTAGCTTGCGAGTAATTTTTTATTTTAAAATTTTAGACAAATAGAAACTGTCAGCAGCAATCAATGGAGAATACTCATAATAAAGAAAAAAATGTTTTTAAAACTCATAATAATAAGAAACCATCTGGTGCTCAATACAGAAAACGTAAAGCAGAAAAAGTTGATAATTTGAAGAAAAATTATAAAAAACTTGAAAATTTTTTTACATCGGAAAATAGTGATTGTAATAAAATAAAGGAAGGAGAAAATGTTGCGCATGTACTTAGTGATACATCAACCAGCGATGAAGAAGACGGAATAGTGTCAGTTGGAAATGTTCACTACGATGAAAAAGATATCGATAACCAAAATGATGATGGCCAAGATGGTGATGTAAATGATCGCACTAAAGAAACAGCAATCGATTACTCAGACTGTGGTTTGTGGCCAATTCATCGCAACATTCAATTTGTTGATTATGTAATTAATATAGGTGCAATACAAGTGACTTTGGACACATATCCACGCGATAATAGAAGACGACATTTTTCAAATGCTTATTACAACCGAAAACTTTCAAATGGTGAGGTTATTTCACGACGTTGGCTTGTGTACTCAGTTTCTAAAGATGCGGTATTTTGTTTTTGCTGCAAACTTTTTGATTTTAACATGAATTTAAAGTTAAACGGAAACGGATTCAATAAATGGAAGAATTTAACAGAAGCATTAAAAATTCACGAAAATGGTAAGTCACACAGAATTGCTTATCAACTATGGATTGAGATAGAAATACGAATGAAAGCTGGTGAAACTATTGATAAACAAGAACAAAAACTAATCAAAAAGGACAGTTTAAGGTGGCGAAGTGTTCTTGAACGATTGATGAACATTACTTTATACTTGGCAACAAATAATATGGCCTTCAGAGGTTCTTCTGATAAATTGTATGCAGTTAATAACGGCAAATTTTAAGGATTGGTACAATTACTCGCTAAATTTGATCCTATCATGTTAAACCACGTCACGCTAGCTTTTAAAGAAGATATTTCTGATCATTACTGTGGAAAAACCATTTAAAATGAAATGATAGATATAATGGCATCAAAAGTAACCAACATAATTATATCCAAAGCTCTAAAAAGTACATATTATTCTATTATTGCTGACTGCACTCCTGACGTATCTCACAAAGAACAACTCTCGCTTACGATTAGAATTGTAAATATATCAGAATATCCTATAAAAATAAATGAACACTTTCTAGGGTTTTTCAATGTTAACGACACGGCAGGTCTTGGTTTAACAGAAATCATAATTGGAGCTTTAAAAGATTTTAGACTGAATATAAGCTTTTGTCGAGTGCAAGGTTATGATAACGGTGCAAATATGAAAGGTAAAAAAATAGGTCTACAAAAGCGAATATTAGATTTGAATCCTTTGGCTTTTTATCTTCCATGTGGAAGTCATTCTCTCAATTTGGTTATTTGTGACGCAGCGCAGTCTTCACTAAATTTCATTAACGTTTTTGGCATAATACAAAGATTATTCATATTATTTTCTGCATCAACTTCACGCTGGAATGTTTTACTTAGTCATAGAACAAACTTCACTATTAAACGATTATGCGAGACTCGTTGGGAAGCCAAAATTGAGAGCCTCAAAGCCATCTGATACCAAATAAGCAGTGTACATGATGCTTTAATTACTATATATGAAACTGAAACCAAAACTCCTGATATTGCACACAAAGCGCAAACATTAGCAGAACAATTAAAAGACTATAGTTTTTTAGTTTCTTTAATTGCATGGTACAATGTACTATTCCAAATAAACGTTGTTAATAAAGCAATGCAAGCCAAAGACATGGATCTAGTACAGTGCGCTGAAATGTTGTAAAAATGCATCACATTTTTGGAAAATTACAGAAAGTTTGGCTTTAAACAAGCAACGGTTGATGCCAAAGAATAGTTGAAGAGTTGAACATCGATGCAATATTTAAGCCGCTTAAAAGAGTGCGACAAGTGAAACGTCATTATGATGAAAATGCTTTTGACGAACCAATTCAAAATCCCGAGAAGAAACTTGAAGTGACATTTTTAAATCCTTTATTAGATACATGTTTGTCGTCAATAAATGAAAGATTTGAACAACTTAATGAATATGTAAATATATGGAGTTTTTTATTTAATTTGGATAATTTGCCCATCAAGAATGAACTTTTAAAATTGTGTAAACAATTACAAGAAAAATTAACTGTAAATACAAAATCAGAAATCGATGGTGCTTTGCTATGCGACGAACTAATAAGTGTGCAGTTTTTTATAAAAAATAAATTAAGCAATGTTGAAAATGAAATAAATACAAAAGAGATGACACTACTTTTTGTACTGAACCTTATTAAAAAACATTTTCTACAAGAGTTATATTCAAATACATGGATTGTTCTGCGCATTCTTCTTACAATACCTGTTACTGTTGCTAGTGGAGAACGTAGTTTTTCTAAACTGATGTTAATCAAAACATATTTAAGAAATACCATGTTGCAAGATCGACTAAATTCTCTATCTATGTTATCAATTGAGCAAGATATAGCTGAAAATTTAGATTTTTCGGACAAAAAAGCTAGAAAAGTTAGACTTTAAAATTTAATAACTCTTGTTTATATAGTTAGAGGATTTATTATATGTTTAATAAAAACATTTGTTATTTTTAAAGCAGCGTTGCGTTGTCTATTTATTTAGTCACTCATTTCTATAAACCCATATCTTGAAAAGTCTAAGTTTATAATTTTATTAAAAATTAATTAAGAAACTTGATGCACAATATGGATCTCTTTGCATTAAACTATATATTCCTTTTAGCACTGTTGTTCATCATTTTAGAGCATTGGTCTCGTTGTTAATGGTAACAACCTACCCATATATACCTAGGGGCGCGTTCACAAGTTTTGCCCAACCTGTCAAAAAAGCTAAGGCTGGCGCTGTATATATATATATATATATATATATATATATATATATATATATATATATATATATATATATATATATATATATATATATATATATACATTGTAATCAAAAAATATAAAAAAAATGATTTTTTTTTTAAAAATAAGCAAAAAAAAAAACAACAATCTTTTCTCAATTATTTTTTAACTTTATTTCAAATATGTCAAATAATAACTATTATTACACTAATTAAATAAGACTTATAACAAAACTGTGGAATTAGTAAAAATCAACTAAAATAAGAAAATTACAATTTTTAAAATAAATTTGTAAAATTTATGTTTTCTAAATTTTTGTCTATTTTGTTTAATATAGAACACTCAATACAATTACATTTTCTCTTGTTACAACTAAATAAAAATTAAAATTAAAATTGTAAAATAGGACATTTTTAAAAAAAACCCAAATATATTTTGGGTTTTTTTGGGTTTTATTGGGTTTTTTTAAGGTAGGTTTTTTTGGGTTTTTTAGGGTTGGGTTTTTTTGGGTTAAGTTTTTTTGCCAACTCTGCTCTCTTTACCAGTGCTGCTATTCAATTATGTTTTTCTAATTATATAAAATTGCTAAAAAATTTATTTTAAATATAAAAATATAATTTTTTTGAATCATGAAGATATGAAAAGTTAAAAACAACTTTAAATTGCAAAATAACAATATAAAATCACAAGTAACACTTTATAAAAAATAAAACTATAACGGGAAACTTAAGGCACAATTTTAAAGAAATACATTTTTTATCTAATTCAAGGGCCCCCCTCCTTTTTTTCTGATTCTTTTTAATTTTAAATTCTAAAATAGTGTAAATATATTAAGTATCTTACATTAAAAACCAAAAATTAAAAAAAATTTCATGGTACAATCAATTTTACTTTATTTTAAAAAACCTATAGCATTTTTTCATTCATCTTAGTTTTTTAACATTTCTGCAGTATAGTTGAGTTTCAACAGTTTAAATAATTATTTTTGTTTTTTTATTAAGGAATAGAGTAGAATGGGGTCAAATGAAATAGTTACGGATTTTAATTATTAATTTTTTACGGAAAAAAGATTTTTCCTTTTTTTTTAAAAGTTGTAGAGTGTATTGAGTATTTAAATATACAAAATTTTAACAATTTTTTTGTAAAGTTTTTTATGAAACTTTATTTGATTAAAAAAAATTTTATTCCATTCTTCACTGACATTCGGGAAGAATGAAATACGCAAATATAATATAATTAAAACAACACTTTATTAAAAAATCAAAAAAGCAATCAACAATAACAATTAAAAAAACAATAATAACAGTTAAAAAAATCAATCAAATAAAATAAACTTTTTTATTCTTGTGATGATGTTAGAGGTACAAGAGGTTAAGTTTTGACTTGTGCGACACTTTTTGTAGCAATAAAACTCAGCGCCTTTTACGTATCGCTTTAATATGCATGTTTGACATGCATGTCAAATATGCATGTTTGACATGCATGTCAAATATGCATGTTTGACATGCATGACTTTGATATGCATGTTTGACACCTTGCAATTTGAATTTTTGCACTGGTACCATTCTATAATTTGACTTGCTGAAGTTTCGCCCAAAACTTTTCGGCACTTTTTATACTTGAATTGGTTTGTAGCTAATATTTTCGTTGGACTTGTTGCTTGGTTTATTTGCTGTTCTCCATTAGAGCTAAGCTTAGGTTGTTTTTTAGCTTGCTTTGCTGCTTTTTTGCTCACAGCATCTTTCAACCTTTCAAGTATTTCAGGTTTGTTGAGACACTCCCCTTTGGATCTTGGCACATCTACATTTTTTTTTTTTTTGTGTCAACGTGTTGGATACGAAACATTTGTTGCAAAGATGATCCAAGTGATTGGGCTGATTGCAGTTGTTTTGCAACCTCTTTTTGAATTTCCTTTTGAATAGCCGGATGTACTACAATATTAAAGGTTGTTTGCAGACAAGGTGACTTTTGAGATGACTTTGGAGCTGATGCTATGTGACATATGCTGATGCTAGTTGTTGTTGGTGTAGATTCAGAGGGCAGTGGCTGAGGTAGTGTAGTTCCTGGTGCTAGATTTGGTGATAGCACTATCATAGATTAATAATAATAAACATCAATATCTAGTGGCTGTGCGACGAGTGAGCTGGTTAGCAAATTAACAAGAGAGTAACTAGCGAATTTCATATATTTGTTAGAACCATTTTATAAAAGCAGTAAGTAAAAGTCATTTAAATTCAGTTAGAAAAATTCATTCATTGAAATTTATACAAAAAATTTATAGTTGGAGATTTATTGGTCACTTGAGACCTAATAAAAAAAAAGCCATTTTTAAGAAATAAGCTATTGCTTCGTATTTATTTATTTAATAGCGTATTTCATTCAACCCTGCAACACACAGTTTTTGTTTTTAACTCATAACTTTTTTTCCTAAATAGCAAATTTAATTTTGAAAAAAGATTCTTGATCAAAAAGTTATACCAATAAACATTTCAAGTTCAATGATACCAAATTTCCGAGAGTTTTAAGTTCCCTTTTTAAAAAAATAAAAAAAATCTTATTACGCATTCGAAAACTTATGAATTTAAAACAAAATTTTTTAAATTTAAAATAAAATTTTATACAATCTTACTCAGAAAAATATTCTCTACAATATAATCAAAAAATATTTACATAAAAATTATTCAATAGTTAATTAAAAGCGAAATAATAAACATTGTCATAACTATTTCGTTTTACCCGCTATTTCATTTTACCCTGTTTTATTCTATAGTGCAATAGTAGTTCTAATTTTATAATTAAGAAACAAATTTTTAAATAAGTGATAAAACATTGAATTTTATGACTTTTAACAAAAAAATCATGCAAAAAAATCATATATATATATATATATATATATATATATATATATATATATATATATATATATATATATATATATATATATACACATATCCTTATCTCATAGTCAAAAGAGACTTTTAATGTTAAAAAGTCTCTTAACAACAATTTTACTACCTCGACAATTAAGCTACATTTTATTGTTGTCAAAAAGTTAAAACAATTAAATTAATTCAGAAGTACATTGAGTTTTTTTAAAAAACCGTAATAGTAATGACTAGAAAGATTTTTATAATTAATAGTGTTTTTGTTTTTAAAAAAAATTTTTAAAACGTGCGCTGAGTGTTGCTACATCGACTACATTGGCTTGCAAAAGAGTGCTACTACAGCGACTATCTTATAGCCTGACTTACGGATTGCTGCTACATCAACTATCTTATAGTCTGACTTGCAACAGAGTACTGCTAGATCGACTAAGGGTTCGGTTAGGGCAGGCAGTCTATCATTTAAGAAAAAAAAAGTTATTTGATTTTTCCGATCTGGCTTATTAGTGCTCTCTTTAAAGCTACAGTTTAGTTTAAACTTTTTAACTACTATGCAAGACTATATATATAAATATATATATATATATATATATATATATATATATATATATATATATATATATATATATATATATATATATATATATATATATATATATATATATATATATATATTGTTATTCACCTCTTCAAGGCAGAGAAGGCCACTACAGATGAGGAGGCTACTTAATAGTGGTTATAACCCTTTCTCAACTCTATATCTCCGAAACATGAATCCTGACAAACAAGGCTGTTGTGCGGAGAAACAAGTTAAAGGCGGTATTACCAGGGACATGGTGGGGATCAAACTCGGAACCTCTCGCTTATAAAGCGAGCGTTTTACCACTACACCACTACCGCAAATGTATATATATATATATATATATATACATATATATATATATATATATATATATATATATATATATATATATATATATATATATATATATATATATATATATATATATATATATATATACTCATCAGTTATTCATAATTTGTTCATAAGTCAATTTGTTTGTATCTTTAATTTTTTTTTAGTTTGACTATGTATTCTTGAGATTGTAAGTTAAAACATAAATTTTATTTTTTCAGGATTGTGTACATTTTTTAGAACTTCTTTACTGTCAATCGATTCCTAAACCAGGGACAACGTTGGCAATCAAACTAAATGTATCTGGAAAAGATCAAGTATTTTTACTCTAATTTTTACTTATAATTTGAATACAGTTTAGAAGGACATAGTTTAATATATCATGATATACACAAATATTTAAACAAGTTTACACTTAGATTGAATATGCAGAATTGTTAAAAATGTTTAGATAAACTACATTCACAGCAGTATGTACAAATATAAAAAACATTTTTAATTATATGTAAATAATTTACTCATGATTAAGTTACTCATATTTAATTATGTTTAATTAGGTTAATGAATTATATAATTAAGTATATTTAAATAAAATATTTAAATGCATTTAAAAATCATTAACAAAAAAATTATTTAATTTTATTTTTTTTATACAAGACATACTCAATTAAAATTGCTGATACAAGAAAACTACCATCCATACCTGAAAATGTAAGTTAATAAATATGAAATTAAATGGTTATTATATTTGCTAATATATTGATTTCCATTTTACTAAGCTATTATTTTAATATTATAAAAGCAAATTATAAGGCAAACAAGCTTTAAAGTTAAACACAAGATTTATTCATCAATTATTCATATTAGTATGTAGTCAGTTAAACTAATCTAATTTAGTTAATCTAGTAAGATCAGGTAAGTTGTCAAACGGTAGGTTGCATTTGTCTGTAGCCGACTTTTCAAAATAAGTATTTAGTGATGAGTCACTTTTTGAATTATTTAATAGCAAAACTTTTTAATGATAAAAAAAAAACAGCTGAAGTTGCTCTCAAAGCTTCTAGAAAGGATTAGCAGGAATCTAGGAAAGCATTTTGAAACTTTGAGGTTGTAACAATAAATTTACAACAACAACAAAAAAATAAAAAATAATAGCATTAAAACATAGCATATCATGTGTGCACTCATCTAGCTTTGACCTTGAAAACATTTGATCTAGAAATGAAAAGAACAATTGTAATTGTGGATATCACATAAGTCAATAATCTCAAGAGAAGTTACAGAAAATCTAGTTAAGTTTTTCCCAAGGATACATAAAACTGTTCAAGTCTTTCCTTAAATGTGCCAGTAATATTAAAAGCTGAAGAATTCTTTTGTTAATTTGGAAATTCATTTTGTGCCTATTTTAGTTTCTACTTTTAAAGTTGATAACATTGAAATGTTTAAGATTAACTTACAAAACAGCTTTTTATTGACTACAGACTAAGATGGACATTCTTGCCTGTAGCCAACCACATTTTTACAAAAGCTAAATGTGGAAATGTTGCCAAAATAAATTGTTTTTTAATGGAAAATCTATTTTTTTTATGTGACCATATTTGGGCAGTGCCTAAATATGGTAGACACTGTTTAAAACGGTCTTGAATAGCCCCTGATGTATATATATATATATATATATATATATATATATATATATATATATATATATATATATATATATATATATATATATATATATATATATATATATATGTTACTTTTTGCATTTTTGTGTTTTATTTACTAAGATAATTCTTTAATAAAACAAAATAAAACTGTTTTTAAAATAAAATAACTTTGTTTTGAAACATGAATGTATTATATTGAATTGATAAATAAAGTTACTATATATAAAAAATTAATTATTTTTTTCATGTTTTATTTTAGAGAAACTTGACAGAGTATTATGCAAAAGTACAACCAATGAACATGATTTATTTATTTGTAAGGTAGATCCTAATATATTGATAATGAATACCTAATATATTGATAATGAATTCTTGACAATCAAAATTGATTGGCTGAAATAAATAAAAAATTATAAGCAGGCAATCATTTATTAAATGATTAAATTTTCAGTTAATTTACACATATTTACTAATATTTTCATCCTCTGTCTATATAAAAAAAGTTGATATTTTGCCTTACAATAAAACCAATAAAATAAAGGTATGTGCTGTTTAAATCTGTCAAATTTTTGAATTAATAATTTACTTTTTGTTATATTAAATATCATATTTAATACATTAACTTTAGTTAAAATTTACTATTATATATAAAATTTTATGACTAATTTATTATATATTAAAAATAAATGCCATAAACAAAATTATAAAAATAATTATTAACTTAAACTTTTCAAAAGTTTATTGATGTTGTTTTTACATTTTCTATTTAATTTAATAGATGATTGCGTAAAGCCACAAAAATTCAAGCCCGAAAAAAAAGGTTTTTTTTTGTCTCTATAAAAATTTGTTTTTTTTTTCTAATAATGATTTACTCCCAACAAGGCAAGCAACCACTATTAAGTTGGAAGTTACTAGAAAAAAAAAGAATAGAGTTATAGAGTAAGGAAGCGGTTGAAAGACTTGAAAAGTTGTAGGTTGTATGAGTCAGGAAAATATGAAGATGGTAGAGAGTTTCAAAAGGTTGAAGTGCGCAGAAGAATGAGACTCTGTTAACTGACGAATCTAGGGAGAATGAGTTTTTGTTGATGGAACAAGAGATGATAGCTTCTTTGAGCAGCGACCATGATAGTATTTGTAGAAAAGAGAAAGAGATGGAAATTAATGACAAGGAAAAGAGGCTCAAGCTTAGCAGATAAAGCTGGTCCGACTAGGTTTACAATGTGTTTTTGGACCTTGTCTAGAAGAGAAAGAGCATTATTAGAAGAACCACCCCAAATATGACAACAGTATTCCATACAGAAGTGAATAAGAGATTTGTAAAGTTAGAGAATAAAATCAGGAGTAAGAAAATGATAATAAGGATAAAGAGAAGCAATCTTAGCAGATGCTAATTTAGCAATCAGTTGTATATATGACTTCCATGATCAGGTCAATAATGATTATTGATCTGAGAAGACATAAAGAAGAGGAATCAGTGAGAGAGTTGCTATTCATTAATATAGGAATGTTGATAGTATTGCTATAGTTTTTGCAGTAAATAACTGAGTTTTGTTTGAATTAAAATTTACAAGCCACTGCGAGCCCCAATCTGTTACAGAAGTGAGATCAGATTTAAAATCAGCTGCCTGTTCTAAGCGATGATAGCATCTTGAGATACCCCACAAATACTGGAAAGGAAGAAGAGTGTTGGCCTTTGAGGATGACTTTAAAAAAGCAGTTACAAAGAAGCGATTTGATAATTACAAAAACTTTTAAAGATTTACCAAGTAAAACACGTTTATGGAGAAAACCAGCATGCGAAACTTCATTAAAATTGAATTATTCTACTTACCCCTTAAGTTATTACCTAAGAGGCTTCCTTCAAGACAGTATCTGAATCCAGTTAACATCTGCCCAAGATGATTATTTTTATCAATTTTTATTATGCGGTAGTGGTGTAGCGGTAGAGCGCTCGCTTGGTAGTACAGCGCTCAACTTGTTTCTCCGCGCAGCGGCCTTGTTCGTCAAGGTTCGTGTTTTGGAGTTATAGAGTTGAGAAAGGGTTATAGCCACAAAATAAGTAGCCTCCTCGTTTGTAGTGGCCTTCTCGGCCTTGAGGAGGTGAAGTAAAATAAAAAAAAAAAAAAGACACTATCTCTAACCTTTACTCAACCAAGAGCCCCGAGCCAAGGGAATTTTAAGTTGATTTTGTTTCTTTGCCTAAAAAAGCACATCCAACAAAGCAGCAGGGCATGAGACAGGTAGTACTGGGTTACATAATACCAATAGCAGGATGATCATGATGATCCTGAACCTTACCCGATTTTGAGTAGTTAAAAGGAGTTACTTTCTGCAAACAGTACTTTAAAACATTAAGTATGTTATTTTGGAAATTTGCTAGTAAAAAAACATTACATCTAACAAAATACTAGAGATTGAAGTGAGCGTAGGTTTTATAGTTATAGCCACTAGTTAATTACTGAGCTCACACTGTATCTGAGGTTTAAACAAGCCAAACACACTTAAAGTAACTTACGGGTGAGTAAACACCATGCAAGAGGTTCAGATAGAATATAAACATACATAAAGTAACAGGTGAGAGACCGCTCCAGAGGTTCAGACAGAACACAAAAATACAGATAGCAACTTACGGGTGAATCAACACTGTGGCAGAGGTTTTAATTGAACACAAACATACATATAAAGTAAATTACATGTGAATTAACACTGTAACTTAGGCATCTCCAACTATATAAAAGACAAAAAAATATTTCTATAGGCATGACTGATTTTAAATAGTACTGATGGCAGGAAGACCACTTCTTCCAGGCTTTACTTAGAAAGCAAATCACACAAGGCAGCAGGACATGAAACAGGTTGCGCTGGCTTACATGAACCTTGACGAACAAGGCCGCTGCACGGAGAAACGAGTTGAGCGCGGTACTACCAGGGACGTGGTAGGGATCGAACCCAGAACCACTCGTTTATGAAGCAAACGCTCTACCACTACACCACTACCGCATGATTAAGATAAAAATTAAGATAAAGAATAATAAAAACAAAAAGAAAGATTGACATTGTGGATGTACTTATATAAATTTTAATGATAATTAAAAAGAAAAGAAAAAATAAAAGTATATAAGAATAGTAAGAAATAATAAAAGATAAAGATATTAAAAACTCATCAAAAAATTACTTTATTATTTGTTTTTTTATTAATAAACATCAGTAAACCTTTAAAAAGTTCAAGTTGATATTTACTTTTTATTATTTTGTTTATGCCATCTATTTTTATTATATATAACAAATTAGTCATAAAACTTTATATGCTATAGGAAATTATAATTAACATTAATGTATTAAATATAATATTAGATATTATACTATAGGAAATTATAATTTATTATAATTTATATAAAGTTAATGTATTAAGTATAATATTTATATGATAATCCTTAATTTAGTATGCTGTTTGAAAGAAGGATTATTGTGACCTCAGAGAAGCTGAGTTTGGTTAGTAATTTAATTTTTTTTTTTTGCTTACATTTTTTTGAGCTTTAAAAAAGTATTAATTAAATTTTGAAATAGACATCTTCTTTTTATGTTTAATTGTGTTTGCTTTTTTATGCACTTGTTGAAGTTTTTGTAGACGTGTAAGCGAGCACGGAATGGCTTGAGTGCCAAAGCGCTGGCTAAACAGAGAAGACATATATATATATATATATATATATATATATATATATATATATATATATATATATATATATATATATATATATATATATATATATATATATATATATATATACATATATATATACAAATAGTATTGCGTACTTTGGTAAGCAATCTGACGTCATACTGAAATAGCCGGCTGCTGGGGGCTTCAGTACATACAACGGCTGACAAATAGCCTGACTCGCAGTGAAGTGCTGCTACATCGACTGAGGGTTTGGGATGGGGAAGCAATCGTTTTATTTATCATTCTTCGTTTTTTTCTTCTTTTTCGAAAAAAACGGTTTACCTTGAAGTAAGCACAAAAAGTGAGCAAATGCTTATCAAAACACGCATTAGTAAGTGTATATATATATATATATATATATATATATATATATATATATATATATATATATATATATATATATATATATATATATATATAGGTATATATATATACATATATGTATATATATATATATATATGTATATATGTATATATATATATATATATATATATATATACATATATACATATATATATATATATATATATGTATATATGTATATATATATATATATATATATATATGTATATATGTATATATATATATATATATATATATATATATATTGTTATTCACCTCCTCAAGGCCGAGAAGACCACTGTAGATAAGGTGGCTACTTAATAGTGGTTATAACCCTCTCTTAACTCTATAACTCCGAAACACGAACCTTGACGAACCTGGCCGCTGTGCGGAGAAACAAGTTGAGCGCGGTACTACCAGGGACATGGTGGGGATTGAACACGGAACCTCTCACTTATGAAGCGAGTGCTTTACCACTACACCACTACCCCATATGGCATATATACTGCATATATATATATATATATATATATATATATATATATATATATATATATATATATATATATATATATATATATATATATATATATATATATATATATATATATAATTAGAAATAGGAAAGTAAAATTATTTTTTGCAGTTTTTACGACTTCTTCAGGTTCTTCTAGAGAATCTCAGAAATTTATTTGATGTTCATATTCTTCTTAGTTTAATGTTGCTTTGATTCTATATAAATTCTTGAAGGAGTGACTTCTAAACCTAAAATTTGTTATAGAACACAAAATAAATGTTTTTTTTAGTAAAAAAAGAAAGAAAATACAAAAAAACTTTGTTAAAAATGGGTTTTACTTTCACAAATTATGTTGCTAAGGACTTTGTCTTTTGTCCTTTGTCCATTGTCCTTGGTATCGTGATTCCATCAACACCTCATAGTAACGGCATATTTATTATATAGCTTTAATTACAGTTAATATATCAACTTAAAGAAAGAGTTATAATACTGAGAAAAATTGAAATCAAGAACAGTATTTATTAAAACTTAAATACGGGTGAGGTCTGGAAATTTGGGATTCACTCATTCACTGTGCTCTTCTGAGACCGCCAGGGTAAATTTTGGTTTACTCTAATGTTTTTTTGTTTAATTATTATTATTGGGGTTGGTAAATTGTTTTAAAATAATTTTAAAAATCTAACCTAACTTTTATACATACTTTTTTTTACAAAAACAGTTATAACTTATACTTTAACAAATGGGGAGGGGGTGATAGGTAATAGATATTAGTATATTTCCTCCAGACCAAAGTTCCTCTGTTAAAACATCTTTTTTTTAAAAAAAAGTTCCAAAATTTAAAGATTTATCTTATAAAAAAGACATTTAAAAAAAATGGATCGGGTATTACAACTTTAAAACAATTTTTTTTTAATCAAGCTATGGACACATATAAATTATCATTAACAAAGTTTAATGCAATAAATGTAACAAAAAGATTAACAACTGGAATGCAAAATACTAATAATAATACTTTTTAAACAATATGTTTGATTATTATTGAAAATTTAACAATAATAGCAACACCTACTTAAAAAAAATTTTAAATGAGAAAATGGCTACTTTAAATTGTTTATACCAAACTCAATTACACTTTTCGTAAGCTGTTTTGCATAATCATTGTGTTCCAAACGAGGCTTGTATCGCTTCCATACTTGATAGTGGTAGTGATGAGCACTTTCTCCAGCCTGCTCAGCATATACACCAAGTCCAAACTGATTATGATGAAGAAAAGGAACAAGATGACACAGTAAATTGTGAACTTTCCAGCTAATATTTAATTCGTAGTTAAACTTTTCCAGAAGTTGAAGCTGCAGTTTTTCAAAAACGTTTTTAAAATCTAAAACTAATTCAGCAATAGATTCTCCAATTACTGAGCTGAAACCTTTTTTTTTAATAATTGAAAACTTTCTAAGACAATTAACTACAGGTTGTAGAAATATTATATTTGGCTGCATAGAGGCTGCACTTAAAAGATTAACTTCTAGATCATCTAATTTATATAAAAGTCTCTGTGAATTGTTACCGTCCAAACCTATTCCATGGTAACCTCTAAACATAATATAGTTTGATTTAAGTCATGTGTCAAAATCAGGCTACAAATTAATTAATACTTTTACAAACATAGAAGTAATACCAATAAAAATGTGTAACTCTGGAGGAGGGATAAGATGTTTCAATAAAGTTTCTAAAGGTTCATTGAGATATACAATTCGAGGAGAAATACAGTTTTTAAATTCCTTCATGTGATTATTTTTGCATCCATCTGCAACAAACTTATTGATATCAATAGAACCTAAAGTTCTTTTTTCTCCACTCTCAAGAGTACTTTCTCCTTCACACCAGAGACAAGCATATTTACCACTGTGGCTGCTTAAACCAAATAAAGAGTTACCACATTTTAGATTAAATGCTATTGAATATTTTACATCATTCAGCGCCAGTGGTTTTTTTTTTTTTTTTTTTTTTTTTTTTTTTTTTTTTTTTTAACATCTTCACTTCCAACAAGGCTGCAAGCAACCACTATAAGAGTTGGAAGTTACTGGAAGAGAAAAGACTAAATCTGTAGAGCAAGATAACGATTGACTGATGACTTAAAAGATTGCAAATTATATGAATCAGGAAAGCAAGATGAAGGAAGCGAATTCCAAAGAACTGATGTTCGAGGAAAAAAACTAGAAGAATAAGAGTTTTTGAAGCACTTAGGAACAGTCACAGAAAAAGGATGAGACTTAATTGAATGGTGAGTAACACGAGAATGAATTTTAGTAGATGGCACAAGGGACGCTAGCTCTTTCGAGCAGTGCCCATTATAGTATTTGTAGAAAAGAGAAAGAGAAGCAACATTACGACGATGTGACAAAGGTTGGAGATTGGCTGCCAGAGCAGGTCCAACTATGTTTACAATTCGTTTTTGCACCTTGTCTAAAAGAGAAAGAGTATCATTAGAAGATCCGCCCCAGATGTGGCAACAGTATTCCATACAGGGACGGATTTGAGATTTATAGAGATAGAGAATAGAATCTGGAGTAAGAAAGTGTCGAGCTCGATAAAGAGATGCAACCTTAGCAGATGCTAATTTTGCAATGGATTTGATATACGGTTTAAAAGAAAGATCAGAAGTAAGTGTTAATCCTAGAAGATGAATGGTAGATGACTCATCTAGTACATTACCATTCATAAATATAGGAAGATCTAAATTATTACAATAACGATTGGCCGAATAAAATTGAGTTTTATCTGAATTAAAGTTCACCAGCCACTGTGAGCCCCATGCTGTAGCAGAAGTAAGATCCTTTTCAAGCTCAGATACCCCCTCCAAGCAATCAGAGAGTGTAGGCTTCTTATCATGACAAGAGTAAATGGTAGTGTCGTCAGCGAATAATGCCACCTTAGATGTGAGAATATCTGGAAGATCGTTAATGTAAATTAAAAAGAGTATAGGGCCAAGGATTGAACCTTGAGGAACCCCTGAAGTTACAGGATGTGAAGAAGAGTGTTGTCCATCGAGGACAACTTTTATACTACGATTGGAAAGAAAGGACTCAATAATCTTAAAGACGTTACCAGCTACACCATAAGAAGAAAGCTTTATCAAAAGCTTTAGAAAACTTTATCAAAAGCTTTAGAAATGTCAAGTGCGATGTCAAGTGCCTTAACCTCTCCACCTTTATCTAATGCACGGTAAAACCTATCGGTTATTACTGTTAGCACATCAGCTGTAGAACGAGAAGACCGAAATCCATATTGATGATCAGAAAGTAAGTTATTTGATTCAAGATGAGAGATTAAGTGTTTGTTGATTAAAGATTCAAAAACCTTGCTTATGACAGGAAGAAGACTAATGGGACGGTAGTTAGATGAATCAGATCGCTCTCCAGAATTTTTGAAAATAGGGATAACAGATGCTGCTTTCCAGCATGATTGAAAACAAGACTCTGATAAGCACTTGTTAAATAGTTTAGAAAGTATTGATGAAAGCTCCGGAGAACACCTCTGCAAGACTACAACAGGAATGTTGTCAGGACCACAAGCTGTTGAAGAGTCTAAGCAGGAAATTACTTTAGATACAGAAGCTGAAGTGATGCGAATATCAAGCAAGGGATCAACCTGTTTGACGGCTATGTCAGGTAAAATGCAACTATTGGAATCAAGAGATGATATTGATGAAAAGTTCTTAGCAAACAATTCAGCTTTGTCTTTAGGTGAGGTGACAAAGTCTGAACCATACAAGAGAGAAGGAATAACAGATTTGCCTTTATTATTGATACTGTTAAAGATTCTCCAGAAGTCTCGAGAGCCTAATTTTTGTGATGAGATACGAGATTTAATGACCTGGGAATAGCGAGCTTTGGCGTCAGACAAAACCTTTT